AAGACTTAAACTCAACTTGATGGTTATTCTTTCACAGAAAAAACATCGTCCCAAGCCTCAATATATGCGTCGCCAGACGGACATCAATCACTCGATGCGCACCATTCTGGTTGACTGGCTGGTCGAGGTAGCCGAGGAATACAAACTGGACACGGAGACACTGTACTTGTCTGTCTCCTACTTGGATCGCTTCCTCAGCCAAATGTCGGTGAAGCGTGCCAAGCTGCAATTGGTGGGAACTGCAGCCATGTACATTGCCTCGTGAGTAAATGATTTCAAATTCATGTATGCAGCTTATATAGAATATTATATTTCTGTCGACAGCAAATATGAGGAGATCTATCCACCAGATGTTGGCGAGTTTGTCTTTCTCACTGACGACAGTTACACCAAGGCTCAAGTGCTGCGCATGGAGAATGTGTTTCTTAAGATTCTCTCCTTCAACTTGTGCACGCCCACACCGTACGTTTTTATCAACACCTATGCCGTGCTGTGCGATATGCCAGAGAAGCTGAAGTACATGACTTTGGTAGGTGATCAATGAAATGTGTTCGATGGAGGAGCAATTAATTTAGCTCTTCTCTAACTCTCACGATTGTAGTACATTTGTGAGCTGTCGCTGCTGGAGGGAGAATCGTATATGCAATATTTGCCCTCACTCATGTCGGCTGCTTCGCTGGCATTTGCACGTCACATTCTGGGCTTGCCGATGTGGACGGCACAGCTGGAGGAGATAACCACATACTCCTTGGATCAGATGAAGCATGTGATTGTGCCGCTGTGCAAGACTCACAAGACGGCCAAAGAGCTAAGCACGCAGGCCATAAGGGAAAAGTACAATAGGGAAAAGTGAGTTTAGCAATGATAAATGCTAAATGCCTAAAGAGAATCATCAATATAAACTCTTCTCTTATCTATCTAACTACAGATACAAGAAGGTGGCTTCTATTCAACCCATCGAACTGAGCCAATCCGAAATGGATAAAATTGTACAGGATTATAAGGCGGCCAGCAAATGCGAGGCAGATAAACAGCAACAGATACAGTCGGGCAACGATACGAAATCTAAAGTCAATTTGTTTTATAAGTTTTAAGTTTGTTTTTAAAAATTCAGCATCAAGCCATGATCAAATTGTATTGTAGTTTAGCTTTTTCAATGTAAACCCCTCCCTCTATTAGTAGATTTATTCGTTGTAAATGTAAGTACAATGCATTAAGATTTTACTGCCACACCTGATCGCTGACCCACAGGCGCACGCCACACAAAACGAGCACTGCCAACAACAACAAAAACAACAACAATAATAACATTAGCCACATAACTCCAATTCAACATCGAACGTACGTACACTCACTGGCAAGCTACTGGACATTTGTATATGCTAACAGGCCATATATAAGAAAGAGGAGCTACAACCTAAAATAATGCGATCCACGTTCAAAGCGTGCGCAGCAGCAAATCACAAACATGCACCATGTGGATTGTTTGAGGGATTTACAAAGAGAGCGAGAGCGCCACACGATTCACAAATGAATCGAGCTAGAAATAAATGATGAAGCGTTTAAAACAATCCCTTAGGCTACTTACTTATACAATTTTTAAGTTATTGAATTCATTATTTGTTCAATGTCGTATTTTTTATTTCTTATGTATTTATATTTAACCAGATATGTATGTTTACAATATGTCTTTCAAACAAATCGGCCCGCGAACAGCTACAAACTAAAACATAAAATATTTATGCTACACATATGCTAACTAAATAGGCTATAAATGTTCTGTGAACCCTGAAGCAAATATAACAAAAATATATAAATTTTACTGAAAATATCATTTTAAATTTTACCCAAGCAAAATACATATATATACAATATAATAGTTTATACATACATATATAAACATTTTACATAAATTTAATGACGCTTACTACACTTTTAGTTCAACTCTATTCGTTTCAACTATGAAAGAGTCTGAGAAAGAAAACCATTTATGTTTAGTTATTCGACTAAAACAAGTTTGTGTATCGAATTTTACTAGCCATCAATAAAAGTAAATGATAGACCAAGAGGCACATCTATAATTTGTATAATCTTTTATTTCCAATGTGTTTGAAATATAATTTTATTTATTTATATATGTAGATATATAGCGAAGAGCTCCAATCTTGTCTAATGCCTAATGTTTTTTAAATAAATCAAGTTCCACATTCGTTCCACGAGAATCACCTTTGATTGCTTAACAAATCACTTGACTAATTGCAAATGAATTGAAATTCCAATTAATGCACGTAATTAAAACAAATTAAAAGGTTAAGCATTTCCATTCAATTTTATAATTATTCTCGTATTCAACAAGTGTATATTGATCAAAATTAAAAAAAAATTTGCTACAAATGTAGCCTTTGATCGATGTGATCCAATTGCCAATGGAGTCGGACACCCACCTCCGCGATATGGAGCGTTTACTAAGATTTGATTCATTCTCGGATTCAGTTTGATTGTTATTGTCCCAAATGCAGCTCGTGAGCGTAAGAGAAACTGACACAGCGGAAAAAAATGCGAATGTGAGCTCCTTGGGGAGGAGTTTCATCTATGGTGGCCATATCGTTGATCGTCCCTAATACGCAAATCGTAAGTCCGGATGGTAGCCGAGCTTGTCTAGTGCTGGATTGCAGGCAAAGTTAATCATGGGCGGCGGGCCGCAGAGCAGCACGATCGTGTCGTCATTGGCGGGCAGCAGATGAGCGGCGATCATCTCATCATTGACAAAGCCAACACTATAAGTCCAGCCTGGTGTGAGATAAAGAAATGAGAGATCGGGATTAGCGAGGGAACTCAATGAGAGCCTTAG